TCTCCTAGAAGGATGAAGAAAGGGGTAGGGGATCTCGGGTAATAGAGGTAGGAAAGGATCTTCTATTGATAGAATCATGTGTTTGTTTTGTTCTATGCCCTTTTTTATAAGGGGATATCCTGAGGCCCTGAAGGGAAGGAACCAAAATGGATTTGACTCTTATTTGGAAAGGGGATATTCGATTTAGTGTTGGTTATCAAGAGGGCATTGTTGGAGGTTTGCCACGTGTCACGCAAGATGAAGTTTCCTTTCATCCAAGGATTTCCATAGTGCACGTGTGCTACTTCCCTTCACGAGTCCCCTATGTTGATATTATGTGGGTGACATCAAAGCTAATTTGCCATGTTGGCCCACTTACTCCGTCATCGACTAGTTGTTTCATCACGAGTAGTTTTGGCTTGTTGTAGACGTACAACGATTCTTAAGTGCATCACAGGCCCGAGATGTCCTTAAGCTCATCGCATGTCCATGTTGGCCTACGTGTCGCCATGGGTGTTTTTGTGGTTCTGATTTGATACCTTCATTGCAATCATAGTCGTGGTGAACGACATGTACTTACACTATGTTGTGCACTTGACCTGACATTGCCCAAGTTGTTAATCTTGTGAGTAGATATCAATCCAACCCAAGACAAGAGTGCTGGATAGCTGTCAAGAACATACTAAAACACCTATGAAGAACTAAAACTACTATCTTGCCTATGGTAGTTCACTGCAGATGGACAATTATACAAATTCCAAATTCCAGTCAGACCCAAATGATAAAAAGTCAACATCTGGATACATCTTTATGTTGGAATCCTATGCAACCAGTTGGAGAAGTAGCAAACAAGGGTTCATAGTAGAGTACATTGTCGTAAGTGAGGCTGCAAAGAAAGCAATATAGATGAAGAAATTCATCTAAGAATTTGTAGTAGTACCATCTAGCACATTACCCATTCCACTGTTGCGTGACAATGTTAAATCCATTGCTTAGGCTAAGGAGCCGAGAGCCCACTTGTAGACAAAGCACATTGAGAGGAATTATCACATTCTATAGGAAATTCTTCATAGAGGAGACATCCAAATTCATAAGGTAGCGTCAGTAGAAAATGTGGCAGACCCATTAACTAAGCCACTGACATAGAAAGTGTTTTAAGGACACATGGATAGTATGAGACTGAGGCTAATACCTGATTTGGTCTAAGTGCAAGTGGGAGTTGTTAGATAGTGTATGCTTTCAGCTCCAATTAGATTGATGTACATAAACATTTATTAGTAAATGAATAAAGTACATTATTGTTTCATGTTCTTATTGGTGTGTTTTTGTGGATTACTCCTTAAACTAGATGCTTTTGAAACTCGTGTTAGTTTAGAATGTTCTCAACCATCGGATAGATTTGTAGAGTTGATCTTAACAAGGTTGACACTAGTGCGTTGCCAAACTATTGGAGTAGCTCGTCTAAGCTCCTAGGGTTAGACCCCAAGCACAACCAATGGGTGTTTATAAGAAATAATGAACCCACACCAATTTCCAGTTATGCCTTACACCTTGGAGATAGATGGGCAAAATTGGAAGGTTGCACTTAACCCCAAACTTGATTATGATACTGCACTATGTTTTGGACTAACCTGTCTTTGATATGCCAACTGGTAAGATCCATCAAGGGTAAAATATCTAGGTTTGTAGGGGTAGTTTAAGAAATTACTTGAGTGGGTAATCAAAATGATAGGATCAACCCCTTTGTAAGACAAAGTGAATATCAAGGTTTACACTCTCTAATGGAAACATAAATTGTCAACAATAGATTTCAACTGTATTTGAAATTTGATTTTCAAAATGTATTTACATGCTATATTACTATTTTATGAAAAAGGTTTGCAAAAGGTTTTATTCCCAGGATCCATCCAAACAGAGAGTGTGACACTGCGTTGTGCAATCAAGGAAGATGTCCTTCCCTTCTGGCAGTGTTTTGATGATTATGGGCCAAGAAGTTAAGTGTAAATGCCATTAAAGGGATAATTACTTGATGGGCTTTATCTTACATAAGTCCATTATCCTTGGGTATTCATATAGTGGTTGAATCCAGGGATCATTTATGTGGAAATGTTGGGCCCAAACTAAGCCCAAGCTGATTAGGTCAAGGGTTCACTACCCCATTAGTGAATTCGGCCTAACCTCTTCTAGAGGTAGGGCTGAACCCTTATGGACTTGTGTGAAGCCTTTGTAGGGCCCACACCATACAATATTTAAGCCCAAAGTGGCTATACAACACCTTGGGACCTAAACCATTAAAGAAATTGACATAAGGCCTATTACTAATATGATTTGTTAAGAGATTACATGACAGTTTAATTTGTCATGTGATTTGGGTTGAAAATGGGAATGGATTTGGGTATGGAGCACCCATTCTCTTAAGAAGTTAATGCTTATCAATTAAAGATAAAATCCTAATTCAAACTGGATTTGGGTCAGCTCCTAATTAGATTAGGAGAGTGCTTTATAAGAGACTAAGAGGGGAGGGGTAGATTCACTTGTTCTCTCTAATCTATTGCTCTCTTCTCTTCTCCATTGACTCCTAGAAACCCTAATTCAATATAGCTGTAATAGGTACTGATTTTCATTAATTCTCTACTATGTTTTTGCAAGAAAAACATTAGAGGATATCAGGTTTACATGCCCACATCAATCTAAGCAAGTTGAGAATCAGTTTCGTTGAAACGGTGTTATCAAATCGTCTTCATGTACACACTACATCGTCTTTAGTTGGAGGCCAATTTTGTGACTGATATTGCATGTGAACTACCACTCTGGGAGCTGCACATTGTGGTCTTCGTATCAGGTATGATCAGTTTTAATTTGGGTTTCAAATCTGGTCCAATTTAGTGCAAGATCAATCCCGTAATTTCAAACTTCAAAATCGCCAAGAAATCAATTCCTAGGTTTGATTAGAAAAAATTTAAAAATTCGGCCAGCCACCAAACCTGGTTCGGCCATGTGAAATCGATTTCTAACCCTTCCAACAACATGGTGTTTTTCCTTATCACTACCGTTTGTTGAACCCATATGTTTTTCATTTTCATTTGCTAAATCAGTTTCTCATTAGATCTGCCAAACCCCTGTATAATAAGTCTATAATTTTCGATGAAGTGCAAACAATTGCCCATAGAATTAAGTCATTGGAAAATGGAGTTGAGAAGAATATCTCTCACTTGAAGAATGATAAAGTATTTGAGGATGTATACAAATTCGGGGAAGGCGATAGATTTTATATCTCAATCAGAGAATAGGTCAATAACATTTTATGCCCTCAAGCTAGAATTGAGGAAAACATGGTTGAATATGAAACTTGCCTCTAAATACTAGCTTGGACTTGGAATTCCTATTAGACAGTGATAGATATATGGACTAGTTGGATATCGATTGCATCGTTTTGTATTTATCTTTTTGGGATGCATTGGATATTTGTTTTAAGATATGGCATAAACAAATACACAATGAGATATTATTTATGGGTTATATATGCATTGGTAGAAATTATTTGCAATTTGATGGTTAAGATATTTGCATGTTCAGTTTATATATATATATATATATATATATATATATATGCATTGGAATTAATCATGCATTGCACAATGTGATTGTTTTAGTTTTCTTTTTTCTTTCATGGTGGTGTTGGATTTGAATATGAATATATGATCTTGCTCACATATTCATTAGACAAATGTTTGGTGAAACCATTGAACATTCCCAAAAACCTTACAATTTAATGGTTGAGATATTTGCAAGTTTATATATATATATATAATCCACCAACTGTTTGGTTGGTGCATTTAATCCACCAACCAAACAATTGTAATCAGAATAGCCCATTTCAATTCCGTTTCCGGATCCCTATTCCTGTAAACCAAACGGAGCCTAAGAATGTCGTAGTTCTAATGTTTTGAAGTCTGAAAATAAAACTATTAAAAGAACAACGTGAAACATAAAAAATTTAAATATTAAGATATGACAGGTTGAAAACAGACCAAAAGAAAAATGCCTCAATCATTTTAACCCTTTCCGGTCATGTGGACCCTTACTCTAGCCACCAAAGTTGACTGTTTGACTAGTAAGTGGCGTTCTTCATCTCTTGTGGATTGTGATGGAATTGATAGGACAACGCGTAGGCCATGCTTTACATCATTTAGCTTCGATTTTGATTTTCTTGTTTGAAAATCAAGAAAATCGAAGCTAACTCTATTGGTTTCCCCAACGCTATGTCGTGTTTGAAATAAATTAAAATAAGAGAGAAATTAATTGAGAGTTGAGGGAAAGATCTTAACAGGTTTTGTGAATTTGATTCAAACATATGGTAAAACATGCATTCAAATCTGATTCAATTTGAAGCTCATCAAATCTACATAAAACTAGTACAAATTSATAAAAAATATATCATAGCTAGGTAGGAAAAAGTAAGGGCCCGTTTGGTGCATCTTTTGGCTGTTTATAAGCCGGGCAGACCGATTTTCGGTCTATCTCCGTTTGATTCGTGGAAGATCTAGCGACCAAAAGCCGGAGMACTGAAAAGATGCAAAATGCCAATTTTAGGCTGATTTCAGGAATCTCTAAATGAAGCTTTTTGCATTTTGTTCTCGCATGGAAAGACACAAAAAGACGTATATCTTCCAAATGTGTTTCAGGCTGCTCAGATATTCATGCAAAAGCTCAATACGTCTTTTGACTGTCAGAATTACTGGAAGATCTTCCTAAAAGGACACACCAAATGGGCCCTAAATTTATTTAAGTATCAAATCCAAATTGATTTTGAGAAACATTTTTTGTTAAACTATCTGGAAAGTTAACTTGTAAACTAAATAGATATTCAAATTTAAGATAAAGGATTTAATGGCATTCAAATTCAAATTCACTTTCCGACTTTGTTTATCATCTCATCTACCTACTTTTTTGATTTACTGTACTTTTTTTTATAGCCGCCACGACAAAGATGTTCCCTATAAATGCATCAGAGGTTAAAGAAAGCAGGAAGTCACACACAGTTTATGAATTTGGTGGGTGTGGATGTGGGTCTGAGTGTGAGTGTGTGACTAAACAGGAAAAGATATCAGAGATGGATAGAGTGGGGAGAATCAAGTTGGGCTCTCAAGGGCTGGAAGTGTCCGCCCAAGGATTGGGCTGCATGGGGATGTCAGCCTTCTATGGACCTCCAAAGCCAGAGAAAGACATGATCGCTCTCATCCACCATGCCATCAACTGTGGCATCACCCACCTTGATACCTCCGACATCTATGGCCCCTTCACTAATGAAATCCTACTGGGAAAGGTTCCATCTCTTCTTATTTGTATACTTGTTTAACATCAATCAGGCTAGCTTGAATTATATTGAAGTTCATTAATTAATTTTATACTTAGAATTGAAGAGTTCAATTACTACTTGTTTCCATTTGTCACTCACTGCCATATTTAGGCTTTGAAGGGAGTAAGAGAGAAAGTGGAGTTGGCTACCAAGTTTGGGATCAGAGGTATTGTCGATGGAAGGATGGATGTRTGTGGGGATCCAGCTTATGTGAGGGCATCGTGCGAGGCCAGTCTAAAGAGACTTGACGTTGATTGTATCGATCTCTATTACCAGCATCGCATTGATACCAAAATTCCTATTGAAGTTACTGTAAGTCTTGTTAATCTCCCCATTTCATTCGTTTCTATGGATAACATGATGAGGAGAAATTTGCTTATCTCACAGCTAGGGGTGTCAATTGGACTAGATTTGGTCCAATCCAATCTGATGATGAATCTTTGGACCAATTTGGACTAGTCCCTTTCAATGTTTGGACTGTTCAATCTGTTCAAATTGATTTTAATTTAGATTGGTTCCAATTCAAACATGCACTTCATCAACACACCTGTATTCATAACTTCTCTCAATAAACTGGATATTGGTTCAATCTGACCCAATCCAATATAGATGGACTATGTCCAATCCAATCCAATAAATACTTTGGACCATTAAATCTGGACTGGTCCAATTCAATATGTCTTTTTAATCCGTTCAATCCATCTAAATTGATTTTGATATGGTCCAACCAAAAGCTAGTCCATTAACACCTCTTCTTACAAATCCAATAAAATAACCTTATTTTTGTTGCTGTTTATCTTTAGTCGAGCTTTAGGCTCTGTTTCTAATGCAAATCTTAACTTGGGTTCATTTTAATTTGCATCCAGTTTAGTTTTGTTTGTAATTATGATTTGTACTTCCATCTGATGGAAATGTTGTAGATGTTTTTTACTGGACATCACAGGACGATCGGGCGCTGCCATGCAAACTCAATGTAACCAAAAGGGATTTCCTACTCACTTTTCCTACCCACCCCCTACCCGCTATGAATTGCAGCCACACATCTCTATTATGAATTGAGAGATGTGTAGCTGCAATTCAAGGTGGGTAGGAAAAGTGAGTAGGAAATTTGGGTTATAATGGGCATTAGTCATAATTGTTTACCAACTTATTTCAATCACTTTTTTCCTTAGGCTGTGTTTGGAACCAATGCAAATGGAGTGTAAATCCTGGTTCGGGGTAAATTTGCATCGGTTCACTTTTGCCTGTGCTTGGCAATATTTCATTTATGCATTGACAAATGATAAAAAACACATTTTCCAATGTATATTTACATCCAAAATGAGATGTAAAAGTATATCAGTAGAAAAAGAAGTAAATTTGCATTCAAATGGGATTTTATAAAAAAAAAAGGCATATGCTCTATTGGAATTCGTGTTTGCATCCATGACAACTAAAAGTCTGCTTGATAAGAAGGTAAACTTGTCGGTGCAAAACTAACCCAACTTTGCAATTTATATATACCTTTTTACACTCTACAAGTCTATAAATTTGCATTCACACTTATTTGCAACGATTCCAAACGTAGCCTTATGGAAATAGAGATGGTTCTCAACATTGATTTTCCTCACTTGAAATTTGTTAATTTAATTGAGTTGAATCAATTATTAAATTTTCAAACTTGATTTTCCAATTATTAAATTTTCAAACTTYAGATTGAACTTCTATCATTATATATAATAGAACTATGTAACTTCAGATTGAACTCCAACCATGTAATTTGACCCTCTCTCTCTCTCTCTAAAGCTATCATGATAACTCCATCCTTTTCTGATTTGTTTTGATGAAAGGTTAAGAGCTTTTAATAATCTCCTAAATATTTTTTTCTGCATTAATAGATGGGAGAACTTAAAAAACTAGTAGAAGAAGGAAAGATAAAATACATTGGATTATCTGAGGCCTCTGCTTCGACAATCAGGAGAGCCCATGCTGTCCATCCAATAACAGCACTGCAGTTGGAATGGTCCTTGTGGGCAAGAGAAGTGGAGAAAGACATAATTCCTACCTGCAGGTAATTAAGCTATCTTCTGCAACATTAATAGTTTATTCATTTATTTACAAAAAAAAAAAAAAAAGAATAGAAGAATTAGTATGCTAGAAACTAACTAATTTCAACATTCTTAAATTATTCAGAGAGCTTGGTATAGGGATTGTCGCATACAGCCCTCTTGGAAGGGGATTCTTTTCATCAGGGCCCAAAGTTGTCGAGAATTTCACTGAGAATGACTTCCGAAGGGTTTGATTATTTGCATTACTTGATCTTATTCTTGAATTTAAAGGATAAATAAAACTTTCAAAAATCACTAAATAAGGTTGTGTTTGGATAAGCTTCAGAGTTTATGTTTTCAAAGTCGAAAAGCTTATATCTCTAATTAATTTTAGGCTATGGCTTTGGGCTTAAAAATGTTTTATAGAAAAAAAAAAAAAAAAAAAACCTCTTACCAAAAATACTCAAAACATATTTTGGCCAATTTTTATTTCCTACAGCCCAAAGCTCAAAAGCAAAAACTTGCCCATTTTTATTTCCGACTTCATGAAAATCTCATGCCAATTGCATTAAAATAAAACAAATCCAAGAAAAAGAAAAAAAAAAAATTTTTTATAAAAAAAAAAAAAAAAAAAAAACCTCTTACCAAAAATACTCAAAACATATTTTGGCCAATTTTTATTTCCTACAGCCCAAAGCTCAAAAGCAAAAACTTGCCCATTTTTATTTCAGACTTTGGTATTCAGTATTCTATAAAAATCTGTCCATTAACTGTAAGCACTACTTTGCTTCCATTAGATCTGAAGTTACTGAAACATGTATATCTATTTGCTGTAGAATCTACCAAGGTTCCAACCTGAGAATCTTGAACATAACAAATCCGTATTTGATCGTGTAAATGAAATTGCTACAAGAAAAGGATGCACCCCATCACAGCTTGCATTAGCATGGGTTCACCACCAGGGAAGCGATGTATGTCCAATACCAGGCACCACCAAGATTGAAAATCTGAACCAGAATATTGGAGCCTTATCTGTCAAACTAACACCAGAAGAAATGGCTGAACTTGAATCCCTTGCTTCATCAGATGCTATAAGGGGGGAAGGTTATATAACCACAGAATTGACATGGAGGGTATCTGAAACTCCCGATCTATCTACATGGAATGCTTGATTTGTCTGAAGATTTTCATTCTCATAAATCATGGGCCGATCTTATCTATATTTGATCTTAAAATATGCATCTTAATGTCTATAGAGTGTGTATCATTGAGATTTAAAGGACTAGCTAAACTATGGTCCCTAATCTCAGGTTAAAACAATAATGGCTAGCACTTTTGTTTATTTGGTCTTCTGGAGTATGTTAAATCAATAAGTTTTATTTCTTAGAATTAAATTCGGACATATACATTCATATCTATATCTTCTATGTATTAAAATGGAATGTAATAAGCTGGCACTTTCTTGCTTTCAGGTTTCTTCTTAAAGATACTTATCTTTTTCTGGTTTTTTTTTTATTTTTTTAATTTTAAAATTGGACAAAATAACTCAAGTGCCTTAAGTTTTCATGTGCTCTCGGTGAAATCTGGGTTTGAAAATGGGTATGGGGCACTCATCCTCTTAAGAGAATAAGGCTTATCTCTTAATAGAGTTCAGATGCAAATTAGGTTTGGATAATCTCCTAATTTGATTAGGAGAGTGCTCCATAAGGAGATAAGAAGAAGAGGGTGAAACAGACTAGAAGACCACTCTCTCTTCTTCTCTTTTGTCTTCCAAGAAACCCTATCACGATCTAGGCTTTCAAGGACTGATAGAGATCAGTTTTCTTCTTATTTTTGCAAGAAAAATTAGAGGAATTTCAGGCTCACCTTCCTCAGTTCGATCCAAGCAGTTGGGTTACAGTTTTTGTTGAAAACTATGTTGCTGAATCAGCTTCACCTATACACTACGTCATCTTTAGTGGAGGCTGGTTTTAGGATTGATTTGGGCATGAACTTCCACCTTGRGATCTACGTTTGTGGTATCCTTATCAGGTATAAATATCCTTATTTGTTTAGTTTAAAATATGGTCCAATTCAATGCAAAATCGATCCTGAAAAATGTAGTTTTTCAAAACATAGGGAATTTGATTCATAGAAGGATTAAGAAATTTTTGAAAATTTTCCCAGCCATCTAGCATGGTTCATCCATCCATATGATGGATCCTAACCCTTCCAACAGTGTGGAGTTCTAGAGTTGAAGTGTCTACATAATTGTTAGTCAAAAAGGAGGGAATGATCATATTCTATGGTCGTCTAGCTATTGATTGGAGGACTCTAAAGAAGGCTAGCTATATAGGTAATTAGATAAGATGGCCTCCTTAGAGTGGGTCAAGGGAACCTAGCAAGGATGTGTAGGTATCTATGGGCAACTAGACTTTATTTGACAATCCTAACAATAGAACTTGATGGTTTAACAATTTTATTTCRCTTCATTTTATGAGCTTTCCCTTTATTATGTTTTTGTTGATTTGATAGATTCCTATATTGGATGATTCTGGAAATAGATTTTTATTATGAATTAGGTATTGGGATTTAATTCTATTTGGTACTGATGGAGGATGATTTAACCCGACCTATGAAATGMTGACACGTGGACCTGACTCAGCACGGGCAACAACTCAGCATCATAGCCTGGTCACGACTAAGTAACGAGCCTATAGAACAACTTGCTATATCATATTTCGCTGTAGGAGGAGCTCGCTACAACACGTGCTCCGGGTCCCCCGAGCTACCCCGAAGGGAATATTCCAAGACTACTTCAACTCGCGAGCTAGGGAAACCAGCTTGCTCCAGCCCCAAAGCAAATAAGTCACCCCAGAGACCAACCTTAGTAAGGGTAACCCCAAAGTATTCCTAAGCTCGCGAATGAGCAACGCGAACGTTTCTCAAGAAGCTTCTATTTGACAATCCGTACCGATCAGACTGTGCCACGTCCCTTGACTGACGGCACAGTCCCTATCCTTTCGACAGTCTGCACCCACRTCTCTCAGCAGGCGAAGGCGTGCCTGCCCCTTTAAGACGTGTCACCCATCCGAGCAAGAGGAACGTTGCAACAGTCACCTACGCAGCCCTGGCAGGTAAYGGCTGCGGCAGGGGCCCAGTGATGGTTACGCYCGATTTGACAAGAACACCCCTATAAAAGCCCTTGAGGTAGAGGAGAAAAGGGATCTTCAGACTTCTGAATACTTCCGCACTCTCATATTCTCAACCAGAGTCTATATTTGCTCGCGAGCTAATCTCTCGAGCACAGTGATAAAGCGCGACCTACACTCTTAGCTTTCATACTCTTTTTCTCCTTCCCCAGCGTTATGAGTTAAGCTTTGGAGTATTCCCACCGGGTAAATCCCCGAGAATCCTTCTTTTCTATCTTCTCAGGTGTTGTCCGTTGCCAACAAGGAGCCAGTCAGCAGCCAGCTTGGAGTGCCCGGATCGTGCCGGATCATTTGGCGCCGTCTATGGGAAACGCTTCTAAAAGCCTTCCTCTGAGCTTTCACAAGTTCCTTCTTCCAAAAAAAAACTTAGCATTCTTCATGGCTTCTTCCAGTAATGTCGGACGTGGCGCCAGCCAGAGCGCTACCGGGGAACAGCCCCGGCTTCCTACTGTTTGCATCGGACAGTTTACCATCCCCCTCTTAGCGGACGGAGTTCCTAGTTTGAACGTGCCTCTTACAAGGGCACCCATCGTTGCTCCACTTCCTACTATAGCCGGAGCAACCTTCGCCGAACCCTCGGTTGCGCCCCTAGCGGCCAACCCGAACCAACTGGAGGACTTGGTGCAATGCATGCGGGCCATGCAGGCTCAAATGCAATAGTTCCAACAGTTTCAGCTTTACCAGCAGCAAGTGCTGCACTAGGTCTCCCAGTACCAATATCAGCAGCAATTTCCTTCGCTACCTCAGGCCCAGCTGCCGCTTCCTCCCCGGCACCCAGCCGCAAAGCAAGCCAAGCCGTCCCACCAAGGTGAGCGACCTCGCCGTGGAGAGGCGTCCCAAGTCCAGGATCCTGCCAGGACCCAAGCCTCTTCTCGCAGCAA